CTCTCTGTTTCTCTCTCTCCCCCACGAGTGTATGCACCCTATGGCAAATAAATAAAATAATAAATAATCCAAACTATCAAGCTTAAGATTCAGGCCCGCCAGGAGAGGCCATGTGCCTCTAGCGGCAAACAGACTTGTGTATAACTCTGGCTCAGGTGCCACCTCCTGGGCCCGAGTCTTCATCTGTAGAACAGAGATGATAATCCAATCAGAATGCTGCAGAATCCAGCAGAGGGCCAGATGCCTGGTGGGGGGCTCCCCCAAATGTAGCTCTTTGTTGTTATCACCCCAGCTGCAGCCCAGCTCACCTATCTGCCATGGTTTCACTCCAGGAAGTCTGCCCTTGTCCTCCTACCCACCCCTAAGCTGGAAGTGACAGACCCACCTGTCACTGTCCCTCTGACAGCCTTTGTACATGCCCCACCTCCAGGAGGGGCTTCTCCCCACGCCCAGGCTGCATGTCCTGGGTGTAAGTGGATCTGTTTGCACCGAGGAGGCGTGCTCAAGGGTTCGTGCAGGAACTGGTAAGAGCACTGGCAGGTCCAGAACGGAGGGAGGGGCTTCGTGCGGCCCGTGACTAGCTGGGTGTCTTTGGGCCTGTGTCCTCTGTCTCGAGGATGATACTCCTCCTGTTCCCATATTCCCTGTCCCAAGCTTCCAGGCTGTCATGAGACTCAAAAGAGCCAAGAGGTGCAAAGGGACAAAGCTCACTTGGAGTCTCTCCAGCCCCCTGTCTCTCAGAAAGCCACACTCTCTGCTGAGGCATGGGGCAGCCTTCGGTGTCACTCTCCTCTCCAGGACAGTGGGGGAGCAGTCCCTTCCCCTCCCTGCCCAGAGCTGTGTGGCCGCTTCTGTGTGCACGCCCTCTGATCGGTCCCCTTAGTAAGCTCTCAGCCTCCCCCTGTAGCCTTGGCCATCTCTGGCTTGGTGCCCAGTGGCCCCCGTTCATGTTCACGCAACTCGGAAACTTCCCGCTTGAAGGCTTCCGAGGAGAGCACGTGGCTAGCCTGGTGTTTCCAGGCCACAGCCAACACCAATACCTCTGTCACCTCTGACATAAGAGTGCCACAAGGACAGCCCTTCCCCACCCCTGAAAGGACACCAGGTGCCACCTTGCTCCCAGCCCTCGGCCTGAGCATTCACCTGTCCTTGGGGTCCAGTCGGGCAGCCCAGCAGCAGCAGGCGCAGCAGGCGGTGCCCAGGAGGAGCAGCAGCAGAGGCACGAGGATGCCCGCAATGAGGGCGGCGTCCTGACCAGGGGAGCCTGCGGAGCAGGGTGGTCAGACACCTGGGCTTCCGGTCTGCCGCATCCCCACCTCAGCTCTAGCTCTGTGTTCCCTCCTCCCCACAGAGGGGAGCGTCCTCTCCTCACCTCATCCTGTCCCCTCCCCTCATCCTGTCCCCTCCTGCTGGCCCTTGGCCCTGCACAGCTCTTGTCCCCACACCTGCTGCCGTAGTGGTGTCCAGCCCTGCCTGTTCGTTTCCCGGCTCTAGGCTGGTTTCCGGGGGCAGGGGTACTGTCACATCTTCAGGGGGCCCCAAAGTATCCAAATGGATTTCAGCACCGGACGCATTTCTGGAGTGGGCCCAGTCCTCCTAGCATGTGACAGGCCCCTGGAGCCCACGAGAAGGGCCAGACCAGATCCTTCCTGATGACCACACCCTCCCTCTGCCTTACCCAGCTGGCAGGACCCAGAGACAGGGTGGCAGGGTCCCTCTGGGCATTCACAGGGAACCGAGCAGTTGTCTCCATGGAAGCCAGAGGGGCAGGAAATGTTGCACCTACAGGGTAACAAGAAGAAGCGGGCTGATGGCTGGGTGAGGAAGACGGGGGTACAGGGGGTAGATTTCTGGGTCCTCTTCTGGCATGAAGACCTCCCTGAGGATGCCCAAGCAGACCCCTCACCTTCTGGCAAGTAGACCTCCCTGAGGATGCCCAAGCAGACCCCTCCAACCTCTGAGTCACAGGTCTAAGGACTCCAGGCAGCAAGAGAATCCCTCAGCCCCTAAGCCCATCTTCCAGGGAGACCACCCATGTGCTCCCAGAGGTCCCTAGCCAGTAGACAACCCTCAGGGCAGGGCCTGCCTCTGACTGTCCTCACCCCCTTCCCGCCGAGCACTAATGTGGAAAGACATCCAGGAAGAGGCCCTCAGGGTCTGCAGGTCTGAGCCAGAACCAGCCCTGCCCCTGACTTTCCGGGCATGGGACCTCTCCTGGCAAGCAGGGGTCGCTTCTGTCTGACCCTCCATGCTGCCACCGACTGAAGACCACAGGGAACAATGGTGGGGTTGGGACCCACCCCTAAGTAGGCTCCCCCATTAGATGAGGCATCACCCGACTCCCCTTTGGAAGGCACAGACCCCACAGCAGGAGGAACAGCTTCGTAGTCATGAGGTTGCCGGGTGGGCATCTGGGAGGCAGAGGCGCACAAAGGGAAGGGAGGGACAGACTGCACAGAGGCCTGATCTGGGCACCCCCTGCGTTCCTGCCCCCGGGACCCCAGACCTCACCTGGAACCCCAGTAGCCGGCATTGCAGACACAGTCCCCTGTCACAGCATCACAGGCCCCCTGAACACAGGGGGGACAGGTAGAGCTGCAGCCCTCCCCAAAGGTGCCATCCGGGCAGGGGTCTTCACATCTGGATGAGGATAGACTCAGGGAATGGAGGGCAGGCCCTGCCCATCTCCCCATGCTCCTGGACTCAGGTACCCAACTGGCCACCCCTCAGCAGTGAAGCAGGTGCACCCAGGGCTTTGAACCTGCACCAAGCCCAAGAGGTGACAGACTACAAATCTCCGAGTGGGAAGAAGTCAGGAGACGTGAGTCAGGGGCTGGAAGAGAACCCTGCCGGGGCCCCTGCAGCAGCCATGGCTCTCCCTCAGTCTTCCCCAGGAGGCAGACCCACAGGGATGGGTGAAGGTGTGCGGGAGAAGGGCGCTCTCCCAGGGGAGCTGAGGTGAGGACCTGCAGGGAAGCTGCACCCCACCTGGGCCCCAGCCAGCCAGGGTCACAGCGCTGACAGTGTCCAGTATCCGGCTGACAGGCCTCCCCGTGCCAGCAGCGTGGGCACTGCTCCCTGCAGCTCTCGCCGAAGGTGCCAGGTGGGCAGGGCTGGTGGCACTGGGTCCCATTCCAGCCTGCTTCGCACGACTCACAGCTGCCTGTGTCTGGAGAGCATGGCTTGTTCTTGCAGTGGCCACAGCTGGGAAGAGAAGGGGTCATGAGAACACCGAGGGTGGAGGCGAGCAGCACCCACGCTGTCCAACCTGCTCACGGCCACTAGGGCTCTGAGCGGCCAGCGGGTCACTCAGCATGTCTGAGCCTCCGTTTCTCCAAGGGGTACAACATGGAGGATAGATGATCTCTTTTTTTTTTTGGAGAGGTTTTTGCTATAGGGCGCATGCACTTGCCAGTAAGACCGAGAGAGACAGAGAGACAGAAAGTGAGAAATCACCCCGCCGGGGGGATGACCACGCCGCAATCCCTTCTCCATTCTCCTCTCGGGATCTTGGGCACGCATGCACTCGCGCCCAGTGTGAGTTTAAGCCACCAGGTCCAGGACTCGAACTGTGGTCGACTACATGGGAGTCCAGCGACACAGCCATCATACCAACTGCTGGTCCCAGAGACTGGATGACCTCTGAGGGCTCTTACAGGATTCCATTCCTTCCCTTCTAACACCTGTTCTGTGACCCATTTTTTCAGAATAGCCATGGTCACAGCCAGGCCTCTGCCTCTCTCCTGGCCAGCTTTCCTCTCCCACCCTTCCCTTTCTCTGTTACACAGGCCACCCACCCCTAAGGTCAGGCAGAAGGCCACTCCCTAGTTTATCTTATTTTTTTTTAAAAAATAATTATTTATTTAATTTTATTTATTCATTCACTTAATTTTTTTTGGAGACGTTTTCTTTTTTTTTCTTTTCTTTTTTTTGTGGAGAGGTTTTCACTATAGGGCGCGTGCGCTTGCCAGCCAGACAGAGAGAGACATAGAGACAGAAAGCGAGAAATCACCCCCCAGGGGGGATGGTCACGCCGCAATCCCTTCTCCTCCATTCTCCTCTGGGGATCTTGGGCACGCACACACACGCACCCGGCATGAGTTTTAAGCCACCAGGTCTGGGACGCGAACCGCGGTCGACTACGTGGGAGTCCAGCGACATAGCCATTACGCTAACTGCTGGTTCCCTCATTCACTTATTTTTAATTTGACAAGAGAGAGACACACAGAGAGAGAAGGAGAGAGAGAGGGAGAGGGAAAGTGAGCCACCAGATCCGGGACTCAAACCATGGTCAGCCATGTGGGCGTGTCCAGCGCCTTAATCACCATGCCACCAGCTGGTCCCTATCTTCTTTTTTTTTTTTTAAAGAATGATTTTATTTCACTTTATTTATCTACTTATTTATTTATTTATTTCAATTTGACCAGAGAGGGACAGAGTGAGAGAAAGTGAGAAAGCAAGCTGCCAGGTCCAGGACTTGAACCTCGGTCAGTCATGTGGGAGTCCAGTGCCCTTAACCACCACGCCACCTGTTGACCCCAAGTAGTTTATCTTCTAACCCATAACATGAAAATGCATACAAAGAAAATACACTATCTTCACCATTATAATTTCAAATTTACCTTATCTTAGTTTCCCAGTGATGCTTCCCAATAACTGAGTCTCTTCCTCCAGATACTGGGGTTGTATGCATGGGTCAGATCCATGAGTGGGAGGGAGGGGAGGAGCTAATAAAATTAATTTAGCTGGCTGGCAGGTGGCGTGGTGGTTAAGAGTGCTGGACTCCCACATGGGCGACCGCAGTTCGAGTCCCAGACCTGGAGGCTTGCTTTCTCACTTTCTTTCTCTCTCTCCCTCTCTATCTCTCTCTGGCCAAATTAAAATAAATAATCAAATCAAATAAATAAAGTTAAATAAAATAATTCTTTAAAAAATCAATTTAGGGGAACCAGCAGTTAGCGTAATGGCTATGTCGCTGGATTCCCACATAGTCGACCACGGTTCGTGTCCTGGACCCGGTGGCTTAAAACTCACGCCGGGTGCGTGTGCGTGCGTGCCCAAGATCCCGAGAGGAGAATGGAGGAGAAGGGATTGCGGCGTGACCATCCCCCCTGGGGGGTGATTTCTCGCTTTCTGTCTCTATGTCTCTCTCTGTCTGTCTGGCGAGCGCACGCGCCCTACAGTGAAAATCTCTCCAAAAAAAAAAAAAAAATCAATTTAGCTGACCCAGATTAACATTTATTTTTTAATAATCCTTTTGGGGCTAGCCGATGGCATGGTAGTTAAGGGCACTGGACTCCCACATGGCTGACTGCCATATATAAGTTTATTTATTAATTTATTTTAATTTGACAAGAGAAGGACAGAGCGGGAACCAGCAGTTAGCGTAATGGCTATGTCGCTGGACTCCCACGTAGTCGACCGCGGTTCGTGTCCCGGACCTGGTGGCTTAAAACTCACGCCGGGCGCGTGTGCGTGCGTGCCCAAGATCCCGAGAGGAGAATGGAGGAGAAGGGATTGCGGCGTGACCATCCCCCCTGGGGGGTGATTTCTCGCTTTCTGTCTCTATGTCTCTCTCTGTCTGTCTGGCGAGCGCACGCGCCCTACAGTGAAAAATCTCTCCAAAAAAAAAAAAAAAAAAGAGAAGGACAGAGCAAAAACAAGAGAGAGAGGAAGGTGAAAAAGCAAGCTGCCAGGTCTGGGACTCAAACTGCAGTCAGCCATGAATTCAGCGCCCTTAACCACCACGCAACCTGCAGGCCCAACATTTTTTTTTAATTCCCTACAAGGCATGCTCTCCCCAGAGATGCAGAGTGAAAGAGGGAAAGTGAGAAAGCAGCGCCCCCCATGGGGAATGGTCACACCACAATTTCTTTTGGGGATTTTGGGCACGTGTACACAGGTGCCTGGCATTTCTCAAGTCACCAGGTAGAGATCAAACTGTTCAATGGGCCATGTGGGATCTAACCAGCTTAAACACCACACCACTGGCTGGCCCAACCTTGTTTTTTTAGGTTTTTGCTAAAGGGCGCATGTGCTTATCAGGAAGAGGCAAAGGGACATTTGAGAGGGAAAATGAGAAATCACCCCTCCCCAAGGGGGATGGACACAACACAATCCCTTCTCCATTCTCTCTGGATTTTGGGTATGCATGCACACATGCCTAGGGGTCTGGGACTGAACCCTGGTCTGACATGTGGGAGTCCAACGCCTTGACCGCTATGCGACTTGCTGGTCCCACTTTTTTTTTTTTTTTTATTTAAGGAAGAAAACATTGTAATGTATGTATATGAAGTAAAGGTAAGTATGTGTTGGGTTAGACGTTTATTTCAATGATATAAAACAAATATATAATGGCCCCTTAACCACCATGCCACCTGCTGGCCTCCCACTCAGTCTGTAAGTCCTTTTGTCTCACAGTTTCTTGTTTCTGTAATGGAGTCTTGCTAGTACTACTATAGACACATTTTATATTCTTTTTTTTTTTCTTTATTTTTTTTAAGACAATGATTTTGGGGCTCGCATGTGATGTGGTTAAGGGTGCTGGACTCCCACATGGCAACTGCGGTTCGAGTCCCGTACCTAGCAACCTGCTTTCTCACTTTCTCTGTATCCTTTTCTGATCAAATTTAAATAAATAAAGTTCAATAAAATAATTTTTAAAAAGAATTAAAAATAGTTTATTGAATTTTATTTATTCACTTTAATTTGACCAGAGAGGGACAGAGTGTGAGAGAGTTGGAGTCCAGCGACGTGGTGGCTTGCTTTCTCACTTTCTGTCTCTCTGTCTGCCGTGTGGAATCCAGTGTCCTAACTACCATTCTACCAGCTGTCTATATTTTCCATTCTTAAAAAAGGCGTGGGGCCAGCAAATGGCATAGAGGTTACCTTGCAGGACTCCTACTTGGGCAACTGCAGTTCAAGTCCAGGTAATCAAGCGCCAGGATCCAGGGAGGAGAATCTAGAAGGGATTGCGGCATAGCCACTCCCCCAGGGGTTGATCTCACTTTCTCTCTCACTGTCTCTACCTGTGTCTCTTCCTAGCGAGCGCACACGCCCGGTGGCAAAAACCTCTAAGAAAAAAAAAAAAGGGGGGGGTGGCAGGTGTATAGAAGTTAAGGGCGCTGGTCTCCCACATGGCCAACCACGTTTGGAGTCCCTGGCCTGGCGGCCTTTCTCACTTTCCCTGTCTCTCTCTGTCCTTCTCTGGTCAAATTAAAAATAAATAAAGTTAAATAACGTAATTCTTTAAAAACAAAAAAGAAAGAAGAAAAAGAAAGGTGTTGGAGGGGCTGGACCTAGGAGCATGGAAGGCCTTTTTTTCCCTTTCACAGTGCCTTGTCAAGTTTTTGTAAAGCCCTGCGGACCTCTATCCTTTCTCGCTCCCTTTACACGTCTCCCGCACCTTTCCCTGCCTTCCTCACCCCAGCCTTCCCTCTCCCGCGCTCCCTCCTTTGCAGGCGACCTTGCTCTGGGGTTCCCTCCCGCCCCACGCCGCTCACCTGTTGCTGCACTGCACTCCGTAGCTGCCGGCGGTGCAGGGCAGCTCGCAGCGCGCGCCACGGAAGCCGGGCGGGCAGGCGCAGTGGCCCGAGGCGGGGCTGCAGTGGCCGCGCACACATTTGCACTGCTGCCGGCACTCGGGGCCCCACCAGCCCGGCTCACACACACAGGCGCCTGTGGCCGGCTCGCAGCGCGCCGCCACGGGGTTGCACTGGCACGGGCGGCGGCACGTGGACGACCACCAGCCCGGCTCGCAGTGGCACACGCCCGTCACCTGGTCGCAACGCCCATGGGGGCCGCAGGAGCACGCGAACTCGCAGCGGCTGCCCCAACGATTGGTTTGGCACTGGCACACGCCTGTGGCTGGCTCGCACTGGCCGTGCGGGTGGCAGGGACAGCTCTCACGGCAGTCGGGGCCCCAGTACTGGCCCGGGCAGCCTGCGGGAGGGAGGGAAGGGGTGAGTGAGCCCAGGGCCAGGCTTGGAACCTCACCCCGTGACTTCCAAGAGGGGGGACAGGCCCTTGAACATGTGGCAGCCTGTCTTCTGGGGCACAGCTGACTTCCTATCCAACTCTGAACTATAGAAACCCTTAGCAGTGGGGAGACCAGCAGTTAGCATAATGGCTATGTCGCTGGACTCCCATGTAGTCCATAGCGGTTCGGTCCCCGGGCTTAAACTCACGCCGGGTGTGTGTGTGTGTGTGTGTGTGTGCCCAAGATCCCGAGAATGGAGGAGAAGGGCTTGTGGCGTGGTCATGGGGTGGGGGCGGGGGGGTGGGATTTCTCACTTTCTGTCTCTCTGTCTCTCTCTGTCCTTCTGGCACCATTAAAGAAAAAAAAAAAAAAAAACCTCTCCAAAAAAAGAAAAAGAAAGAAACCCTTAGCAGTGGGCACCAAGACTCAGTAATGGAGAACCTGAGTGGGCGGGGGTTGCCCAGATTTGCACAGAAGCAGGAGGCACTTCCTTCACGCCCCTCCTCCCTGCCTGCTGAGATCCTACCCTGGGCTGGAGGAGAGATCTCAGGTCTGCATGTGGCCCTGTGTCACACACACACTTCTGTGTCACAAAAGCCACATTTCTCCCAGTGTCCCTTTCCAACCCAGCAATTCCTGGTGCCGGCCAACACCTTTCCCATCCGGGCCTTTGGCAGAGGCCAAGCAGTCCAGCCATGTGTAAGGTATATGTGTGGGAGACAGGGGTGCACCCATTCGCAATTATGGGGATCACAGATACCTTTTCTGAGAAGCTGAAAAGGAAGAAGGACCCAGGTGGGCAGGGCTTGGTGGATATGGGTAAAAACCAGATGATTCAGGGAATCCCCCAGGAGTTCCTGTTCTGGGCCCGTTTTCTCAGTGAAGCTTGGAGGGATCCTGGCCCTGTTGTTCTCAGATGAATTCCTACCTGCTTTGCCACCTGCTTCTCACCCTGAGTCCCTCTGCCCAATTCTGCTCAGCGACATCCTTCTCCAGGAGGTACTCACGGGAGCTGCACTGGGCCCCGAAGAATCCAGGTTTGCATCGACAGAGGCCTGGCTTCACACATACTTCCACTTCCTGGCAGGTGTCTGGCCCCTCACAGATAGCTGAAAGACACCCCGTCCAGGTCTCAAGGACTGGGGGATACACCAGGGGACACCTGCTCCCTCAAGAGCCACCTTCTTAGGGCTGCGGCACGTTTCACAGGATGGACCCTGGCTCTCGGGCTCAGGAGGGGAAACAGGCCCCGGGAAGGTCGGAAGGAAGGTTGTCGCTGGGCTGCATCCTCCCTCCTCCTCCTCAGTTGGGGGTCCGTCCCAGCTACTCACGGATGGTGCATTCGTGGTCTTTCTGCCTCCAGCCTGGGCAGCACTGGAGTTCAGCAGAGGTACTGTGGGTGGAGAGGGCTTAGCCAGGGGCTGTCTTGCCCTGTTGGGTGGATCACTGTCCCCGGCTGAAGTGTGGGAGACTGGACTGCCACAGCCCCATAGTAGGGGATAGCTGACTGCCCCCCAACTTCCCCCCTTTCCTTCCCTGGTCTCCCCACCATCTGCCCTGATATCTACCACCTCCAGGCTACCCGCCAAATCCCCATTCCTTCAGCCTCATGACCTCTTCCCTGAAATGCCTCAGCCCCAGTTCAGCCATCTCTGTCCCCATCAGACCCTCACAAGACCCACCTGCTGGGCATGCAGACGTGCTGCCCATTGGGGTCCAGCTCGGACCCCCGGGCCTCCTGAGTCCAGAGCAATAGCAGTGGGAGCAGCCGCCCCAGCCCCATGGCGGCCAGTGCAGTGGGAGGTCTCAGACTCCTCTGACCCCCACAGCTCCCAATCCCCTTCCTGCTTCCTCCCAAGGCTTTTCCTGAGGAAACCAGGCCGGAGGGGCGGGCCGCCATGAGGCACCTCCCTGAGGGGCGGGCGGGTGCTGGGAAGACCAGTCACTCCAGAAATGAAAGGGAAAGGAAGGCTGTGGTGAGGGCTGAGTGGGGGCCTACGGGCTGCCCTGCCAGGCTGCTCTTGGTCTGGAGCGGGACAGGAAGAATGAAGCTGCAGCTCCTTGCAGACTGGAAAATAGGCAAGACATAGGTGACGGTGGGAGCCATGGCTTTCCACCAGGTCATACTCCAAAGGCGAGGCCTAAGCTGGAGAAGCCTCTGCACCCAGGACTGACCGAGGAGACCGAGTATGAACCCAGCCTGCCTCTACCCCTGGCGGAACTGGGGGGCCAGACAGACCTGACTGACAGACGCGTGTGGAGCAGATTCTGCATCGTATGGGCAGTTGCTTTATTACATTAACACAGACCATCTGCACAAACCCTTAGGAGGCAGGTAGCCAGTTCTGCATTTCATGAATGGAAAACTGAGGCGCAGAGAGGAAGCACTTTTGTATCTGGCCCCAGAGGCTTGGTGCAGAGACGTAAGGACTGGAGGCAGGCTGAGTTCCCGTCATGCCCTGGTGCAGGCCAGGACTGGAGAACATTGGAGAAGGCTGTGAAGGAGGGGGCTCTCTCCCTATTGGAGATCATACATCCAGCTATACCAGACCCCAAAGTCAGGCCTCAGGGGCAGCCGAGGCCCCCAGACAAAGATGTTCATCCAGAACAGAGCAGGGCTGGGCTGGTCAGGAGCTGGGGGTTGTAGAGTTGCCGGCGGGCTCCAAGTGAGGTTGCTGCGGGGCCTCCTCTTCTTCCCCTAGCTTGCTGGGGGCGGAGCTGCTGGTCTCAGCTTCAGGGGACTCTGCTTCACCTCGATACCACAAGCCAAAGCTGGAGGGAGAGTCAAGACGTCCATTGAGCGTACTTGGAGCCAAGCACAAGGAAAAGGATATGGGCCGAGGGCAAGAAAAGGGGATACAGAGGAAAGAAAGGGCAGCATGAGGTGGTGGGAGGTGAAGGGGCCCAGCCCAGAGAAGCAGGGAGGAGGGCACTCCTGGAGCTCAGGATGGCAGGGTGAGCGGCACCGGGGAGGAAAAGGGCGCCAAGAAAGACCAGGCGGTGCCCCCCCACACTTCCCCTTCCCCCAACATACAAATTCTTTATTCTGGACTCAGGGGGTGGGGGGTGGTCTCCCTTATCGCTGGAGAGCAGGAGCCATGAGTCGTCCTCATCATCACTGAGACAGAGGAGAGAGGAGACGTGAGGGCCACTTATCAAGACCTTGAGGGACAACGGGCGTCCAGCCCATGTGGGGCCTTCAGCTTGACCCCAGGAGCAGCAGGGAAGGACAGAGAGGCTGGAGAGGAGACCCTGGGGAGATGCAGGATATCACGAGGCTTTTATTTCATGGCCTGATAGACGGTAGGCCCTGACATGGCTGCAGCTCATTCGTCTAGGAACAGACAGACCCAGCCAGGGCAGGAAACCAAAAGATGGAAGGAGAGAAACAGCATTAGTAGGTTTATTTAGCAGGATGTCCAGTAGGTAGGGCATGTGGGAGCAGTGCACTCCAGAGAGGAGGGGGCAGGTGGGATGCAAGATCTGGGTGTCTGCACCTGAGCTGTAGGCCCAAGGTGTGACCAGGCCAGAGCAGCAGGCTCAGCAAGCCAGGTTAGCAAGAAGGTTCAGGGGACAACCTGGCCAGAGCAGCAGGCTCAGGGGGTGACTGGGTCAAGTTAGCAGGCCTAAGAAAGCTTCAGAAGTGACCAGACGGGGATGACAGGTGCAGTCTGAGGCAACAGACTTAGAGGTCAGACGAGGTCCACAGGCTCTGTGGGTGACTGCACTAGGTGAGCAGACCCAGGGGGTGGCTCAGCAGCATGAGGAAGGGCTGGCTCAATGGGAACCGAGACAGGAACTCACCTGCTCTCTGCTTCCTCTGGCGTCCCTAACATCTTGGCCTTGATCTTCTTCCGCTGCTTCCTGACAGCTACCTTCATGGCTTCGAGGAGCAGCCCTGGGACCCGGTGGTCTGTGAGCAGCTCCCTACAGAAGCGGGGCAGGGCCAGGTGAGGGTGCCGACAGTAGGTCTCTCTCCAAGTACCAGGGCGTGTTGATCCTAGGACTGCCCCCTTAGCTGCTGCTGGGGTCCCTTGAACTGCCCCTCCCCTGGCTGTTTGAAGTTTCCGGACAAGGGCTGTGTAATTCTTGTCCTGCCAGCGCCCAGCACAAGGCTAGGCACATGTCACTGCGAATATATCAATGAACCAAAGAATAAGGTGAGGTGGCCTGAGGCCGCAGAACACATGCGAGCAGAGCCACTCACCGCTGAAAGTAGGCAAGCTCTTCCTTGAGCAGGAACACGTTGGCTTTGAGCTCATTCCGCTCCTGAAGGATCTGCTGAAGCTCCTCGCGACTGAAGCCGCATTGCCCGGCCTCTGAGGTGCGCCCTGGCTGCTGCTGGGCATCCACCTGCCGAAGCACATGCATGGTCAGAGGGGCACCTCTGCCAGCTAGGGCCACAACAGGAACAGTAAGCAGGGAGACCTGGGGACAAGGGTGCTGCGACAGAGGACAGACCAGTGCCATGAGTTGAGGGGGCCGTGTGCCACCTTCCGACTTCGTGGAGAACCTGCTGCACAGTACAACAACCCTTGCCAAGCGTTCACCATGAGCCAGATGCCGTGAGTCCTGGAGTGATGCGGTCCCTGCGCTTTCCCGCACTTACTGAGTCCTCAGGGGTCCCCAGGGCTCCTGAGCTGGCTGCCACCTGTTCTTTAGCAGGCTCAGGGGTGCCTCGGAGCTGCGGTTCGCGCTCCCTCTCCCGGTCCTGCGCGGCGCGCAGTTGGGTCTGCACCGCGGCCAGTTTATGCCGCAACTCCGCATTCACCAGCAGGAGGCGCTGCAGCTGCTCCTGCAACTAGGGGCGGAACAAGGGGTGAGGCTCGTGGGCGGGGCGCCAGGGGCCAAATAAGCCCCGCCCCACCCCTCGCCTGCCGCGCAGCCCTCACCGCTTCGGTCTCCTGACTGCGCTGCAGCAGGTCGCGGTTGTGCGCCCGGAGTTCGTCCCGCTGTCGGTCAGTCACCTCCTTGAGCTGCCGCAGCAGTGCGCGCTCCTCTGCGGAACCGGCGTCCTGAGCGGCTGGCCACAGAGGGGAGGCCCCGAGCCGGGCCCTGCCCCGCCCTGGTCCCTGGTCCGGGCCTGCACTCACCCTGTGGCCCAGATTGCAACTCCCTGCGGAGGTGCTCGTTCTCCGCCCGCAGCCGCCGCAGCTCCAGTTCGGCTTGCTGCGCAGACACCTGCAGCTAGGGGGGCCCGAGTCTCAGGGTTAGGCCCAGGGTTAGGCCCCAGCGGCTCCGCGCGTGGTGAGAGGAGGGGGCAGTGACTCACCGAGTCCGGGGCGGGCCCCACCGCTGCCTTTTCCAAGAGCTCCAGCGACCGCACCACGCGCGGCA